ATACCTGATATAAGTGATGATGAGGTTTGTAGCCCAGTTAAGAGAGAAACACTAAGGATATTGTTGGAGTTCTGTTGCAAGGCTGTCAGTCCTTAACAAGACATCACTGGAAACCAGTGAAATCCACACTGGCTTTGCCTTTTGTAAGTCATCATCAATAGCTGCCTAAGCAGCAGGGAGCTGGTGATGAGGCTTCAGTAGGTTGGAAGGAAATAGAGGGAGAAGGGTAGGGGTTGGTGTAGCCATGTTGGACAGTAGGAGTGAGATCAAGTTTGTTTCCTTTTCTTGGGGGTAAAAGAAGTCAACCTATAAATCCTATATTTGTCCTGAGATGGCCTTTCAGAAGTGTCATGGTCAGTATCAAAACTATATGATAAAAGATTGTTAATAAATGACCTATTGGTTTCTTATCAATCTTTAAGCTAATTCATGTATTATTTTGGAATACAATTCCTCTGCACCAAATTCTGGTCCACCTTGAAATCTTTAGATCTTCAACGTTGTTGGAGTTTAATTGTGATGGAGGGCGTAATAGTTATTGTCAGATGTTTTAGGGACTCTTCTCTATTTTTTTATTACATGTGGCATTAGTCAATTTTTTTACACTCTTGGCTACTATTCCTCCATTTTTGGTTGTTCCACTGACTCACTTTTCACAACACCAACTTTGACCATCAATATCTTTGACTTCCTATTGTATCCTTAAAATTGCATTACTGTTACTAACAAGCTGATGGCCATTGATATCGTTATTTACTTTGTTTTTCTTATTGAAATTTTTGGACAACATTGTATATAATGCATTTTTAAAAATGTGGTCAAAGTTATAAATAATGCAAAAGTTGAAGTTTTGCAATTTTAAAGAAATGGATTTATATCAAATTAAAGTTGATATCTTGAAAATATATTTCGAGACAAATCTAACAACATTTTATATAATACTTTTTTAAAACATTTTTAGTAAATATGGTCAAACTGGATTTGTGAATAGTGCACAAGTTGAAGTGGAGCAATTAATAATAAGAAGGGTTTAAAATTCAAATATCTGGATTCTACCCCCTGCATCCTTACATAAACCTTTGTGCTAGGATCTGAGTTGATGGTGTGATGTCTTAAATTATGTTTTATAGTTTTCCTAGAATTGCCTTTCTTATGCTGATTTTATAGACTTGGCTTCATTTTTCTTCCTAATTTATGCCTTACTGGACATGCTGATTCTAATTTACTTCTATCAATGGAATTGCTGGAGGCAGGTACAACCCAGCTGTTCCAGGACCCCTTGGTTGGCAACTCCCCCGTCCACCGGCATGGTATCCACCGCCTATGGCGATGTCAATGCCTCCTGCAGTTTCGGTACCTCCAGGAGCTTCCGTTCCTCCACAGCAGCCTCTTTTTCCTGTTCAAAGTATCGCCCCACAATTGTCTTCTACTGTAGCTCCTGCGTCTCAACCTCCTTATCCACCTGGTGTCCATTCTTCTCCAGCTCCTATCCCTGTTTCACAGCCTCTATTTCCTGTTGGAGCTACTGCCAACATGCAAAATCAAACTTCAGTAGTTCCTGCTCCAGGACTTCTTCCATCTATGTCCACAGACATGAAAGCTTCTGCAGCCACATATTCTAATGCACCTCCTAATGTGGTAAACAATTACCATTTACCAAATGGTCAAGGTATGTATCCTAGTCTTTCAATACCTTTAGAAGTTTGCTGTATCCAACTCTATGCTTCCTCCAGCAGCAGTGATTTTTTCCACTGTATTTGGGATAGTCATAATAGTAGGGTAGTTTAGCCATGGATGACAGGAAAAACTGTTCGTTGCTTCTTATGCTTGAGATGCTAGATTTCATCAAATGTGAGACTCATTTTAGGTTTGTACTTTGTTTTTATCGGTGAAGTCCTAAAGTAAAATTAAGTTTCTCTTTGCTCATTTTTGTGATTATAGGAGCAGCAATTAATTCACATTCTTATGCATCTGGCCCAAACACTGGTGGTCCGTCAATTGGTCCTCCTCCTGTTATCGCTAATAAAGCTCCAGCAAACCAGCCAGCCGGAAACGAGGTTTACTTGGTGTGGGATGACGAAGCCATGTCAATGGTAGGCTTCTTTTGCTGATTCTGCTCCTTCAACTTTTGTGTCAACTGTTGTTAATTTTCAGAACTTTTATTTTAGAGCACTTTATGACTGGCATGTAAATATGCGCAGGAGGAGAGAAGGGCATCATTGCCAAAGCATCAGGTTCACGACGAAACCAGCCAGGTAAGTTGGAACTACCCTGTTCTTTTCCATGTTCTTCTGAGATTTCAGTCTGGTTTTTTTGATGGTTATCTGGGACTTGATACATCTCTTCCCTATGTATTTGGCATAAAGGTAACACTTTTGTTTTATTGCCATCTTGGTTTATATTTTATGGAGAGACTAAGTGAGGTCAACTGGTCAAGTTTTGAATGTGCTTCTGATTTCAAATACAGTGTGAAATATTGTAACATTTTATTGCCAATAGCTTCGACTTAGCACTATTTCTAAGTGCCATTATCCAGTTTCCACGGAAATTCTGCTGCTTTTGTGGGCATCAAAAAGGTCCAAGTAGGTATTTAAATGTGCTCTACTATTGAATGGTTAGTTTTGTAAAATCTGACAAGCATGTTTGTGAGCGGTTCAAGGTTTCCTGCATCTTGCACCAGCCTTCCACATTAAAAGTGTATGTATTTTGCTGGTTTAAATTTGAATTTGCTACCTGTTAATTATTTTCCCCCATGACATGACTGCGAAATATGGGGTTTTGAGTGGAAGGCGAGCATGCCAACAGGCTTTTGCCATTTGTATCGTTTCTTATTATCTTTTATGACTTTGCAGTGCTTTCCAGGTCAGCTTCTGTCTAAATTTTGGTTATCATTGTATTGTGTAGAAGATTATCCCCCTTTTTAGAAGCTTTTGCTGGCTTGAATTTTAAGTTATTTTTTCTTTTGAATTTTCAGATGAACTCAATAGATGCTGCCATTGATAGAAGAATATCTGAGAGCAGACTCGCAGGTAGAATGGCTTTTTAGGCGTGAATAAAAGAAGCAACTACATTTACCTTCGTACATCATGCAGTGGAGCTTGCTTTTTGAGTGGGATTGAGGTAGCAAGGGGATGGTCTTTCCATTGAACCTGTCGTTTGTTTTTCAGTATAGCACATTCAATACATCTCCAGCACAAAACTGGTCGAATTATCTGAAGTAGATATAAATCGGGTCGGAAATGAAAGCTTTCTTTTGCCGGAATTGTGCCCTAGATTAGCAGGAACACATACTAGATTCTTTAGGCAGAGGATTCATTCAGTGTAATACTATCTGATTATTACAACTAGTCATTTATTTAGTCCACTTGTCTGACAATGACAATTTTCTAGATCAAATGACATTTTTAACCCTCGGCCAGCCTGCTCGATTTAAGGCATCGACTGGAGAACCCTGTCATCTAGAGATTCAGGAGCTGCTGGTCTAATGTAACTGCTGTTATTTTCAGTTTAAAAGAGTAAATTATATTCTTTTGATTGTTTTGTCCCTTGTATTATGTTGAAATGTTTTAAATGTCTTCCTATGTTATAGTGCCGTAATCTTATTTTTTATGTTCGGGTTATGTGTCCAGAATTAAGGTAATCAAAGTGTTTCCTGATTATGCAAATGTTGTTTACTGACAGTATTGGTATGTGTGAAGATCAACAATTGATATATACAGAGTATCTGGTAGTATACAGAGTAACAGAACTGAACAAGCCTGCAGAAATTTATGTTTTGGAGGTTTATCGAGGGTCCCTTGGGTGGGAGTTGAGACTTGTGAGTCTCATCACTCACAGGCTAATATTCGAGACTTAGGTTTTGTTTTTTTCACCTTATTTTAAGAAATTATTGATATTGTATTTATAGTACTCATTATTGTTTAAATATTTTGTCTGACTGTTTCAGAACAGAAAATTTTAGATTGAATCTTATAGTGTAATATTATTTGGTTATTTGCCTAATGTACCTAACGTCTTTATTTTCTTAATAATAAGAATAAATAAAATTTAGATGTTTGGAAAATACAATATTAAATACCGAGATTATCATATTAAATCATATTCAGCCTTGAAAAATTCAACAATATTAGAAGAGTTTAAAAACTCAACCGTATTAGAAGAGTTTAAAAACATTTTAAAAGTAAACAAATTTGAAGGGTGGTCAACGGAGTACTATATTTTCGATTTATTAAGCTTTCTTGCAACATCTTCAAAATTAAACATGCCTATTGGGAAACAAATAGAAATATATATTTGCTTCTATGATGTGTCAATTCAGACAATTGAGTCGAGTTAGGTAAAGTCGGATCAGGTTTAATTCAAGTTTAAGTCATGCTAAATTATAATGTCTATACAAGACAAAATTTAGATCGGATTCTTCCGTATTGGGTTGGCTTAATGTTTGACCCCTCTATCTCTTGCCACCCTTGCATTATTGACAACAATCATAGAATGTTTAGCTCATAAAATATACAAGTATGAAGTGATATGACAATAATTAAACTACATAAATAAGGAGCCTATTCCACCCTTGTCCCTTTATGAATTTGTAACCACACAAATACACAGTGAAATGTCTAATTAATCCCCAATAACATCTTTTGTGCATCAATCTCTAGAATTAACTTATTATGAGATCTAATTAAGATTTAAAAAAGTTTGCCATTTTTTATGTTTTTTTTTTTTTTTTTTGAAATTAACGTTTGCCAACTTTTTTATAATTAAAAAAACTGACATTTAGTCTTTTTAATATTTTTCTTAAATTTACGATATATTTTGTATACTTATCGTATCAGGTTTACCAATATGATTTGTTTTATAAATTATAACAACATCCGATAAATTAACCAGCAAAAATTAGACATTTCGTTAGTCAATTTGACGGGGAAGCCACGTTCAATCAGTAAGACGATCTCACCGCTATAATTCGAAGGCGAAGAGAGACATATAAACCGGATATTCTTTAAAAAAAGAAAAGGGCCCCTCTTTGCGCTTAACGAGGGGTAGAGAAAGAAAACGTAGCACCAGTTTTTGCAATAGAGAGAGAAATATGGCTAATCGAGAGAGATCGATACAACAAGCATAGTATCAATTGTCAAAATCTTTACACCTTCCAAAATTAAATTTCCCAAATCAATTTTTATTCAACAATAAGAATAATGTCAAATTCTTCAAACCCCAAATCTACTTGGTGTGCTGACCCTCCTACTGACCGCCCTGTTCGTGTTTATGCCGACGGAATTTACGATCTCTTTCATTTTGGCCATGCTCGATCCCTTGAGCAAGCCAAAAAATCGTACGATTTTCAACCTTTTCATCTTTTTTATCTTTGAATTTTTCTGGGTATTGTTTGATTTTTTAATTTTTGTAGTTTATTAGTGATTTTTATGTAACATGGTTTTGAATGTGAGATCTTTGTTTGCCAAGTTTGTGGGATTTTGATGCTGTATTGTAGGTAAATCACTGAATTGTAACAAAATGAGGTTAATTTGAATGATGGGTTTTTTCTGGGTATTTTTTTATTATGTTTATTATTTCTTTTTGGCGGTTAAGGAATTGTGTGTTGTATTTGAATATGATTTTGGTTTTCTGGGCATCTTTTATTCTGTTGATTTTAATTTTATCATATGGTAGTTTTTGGTGGGAAATTAATGCTTTTTAGATGTAAGTCATGTAACTTGATTGGATCATTATGAACGAGGTTTCTCTGATGTAGTTTCTTCCTATTGTTTTCTATAGGCGGTTTGTAAATCGTGTACTTGTAAGTGAATTTAATGTATATTTTACATGATTTAGTTAAAGTGTTTATGAATCTATTCATATTTTATGGTTATATATTGCGGCATCATATTTTGATTATATTTTTGTATGGTTTGGTCAAATTAAATGGGGTTTTGCCTCTGCATTCTTTGATTTGTCTGATTATGATTCATATATATGTGGTTTATGATGTGCTCTGGAATTTTGTCTTTGAGTAAATGAATTGTATGATTTGAGTACTTATTGTTTTGCATATTAACCTGGGATACCGTTTTCATTTGAATTTCTTTCTAATTGTGGATGTTCTATATAGATTTCCAAACACATATTTGCTGGTGGGATGCTGCAGTGATGCAATAACCCATAAATACAAGGGGAAAACTGTTATGAATGAAGCTGAGCGCTACGAATCTCTTCGTCATTGCAAGTATGCTTTCTTTCCTCTTTTAAATTATAGTAGGAATACATATTGGTTATTTGGTATAGTCGTATAGATATTCGGCAATTATGGTTATTGGATGCTTATACAAAATGACTTTCACTCTAGTTACAAAGTACTTAGTGTTAAGTTTGAGTCTTATTGTCATGAATTGGTCATATCTCTTGATAACGGATATGTGAAGATTGGTGTCTCTTGGTCAAGTCTTTTTCCATGAGTGTACTCGTGTTCAACTAATTTTTTTTATTGGAAGATCATGTTCTTTTCTCCTTTATGATAATCTTGTGCAGATGGGTTGACGAAGTTATTCCTGATGCACCTTGGGTGGTAGATCAAGAATTTCTTGATGCGCATAAGATTGATTATGTTGCCCATGATGCTCTTCCGTAAGTGTAATATGAACCTTTGTACCTAACATTGGAAACCATGTTTTATAGATGTGTTCTTTTTCTGTAGTCTGCTTCCTGTTGATTTTTTTTTTGACTGGGTTCTTCACTTTTATATCCAATCTATTTTGAATTTTAATGTGTCATTGTAACTAGTTAAATTATCCATGATTCTTACAGTTATGCTGATACCAGTGGATCTTGCAACGATGTCTATGAATTCGTGAGTTTGTTTTAAACGTCTTTAGATTAGCTGGTTTAAAATAAATTTTGCTATATCTTAGCAATAGTTATTGGATTATTTTTGGTTAAGTTAGTTTCTTTGTGGCAGGTCAAACTTGCTGGAAAGTTTAAGGAAACCCAACGGACAGATGGAATTTCTACTTCAGACATCATTATGAGAATTGTTAAAGACTATAATCAATATGTGATGCGTAACTTGGATCGTGGATATACGAGAAAGGAGCTAAATCTTAGCTATGTGAAGGTGTAATTTCTTCCCTTATTAATATTTCCATGTCAAATTATGATGCTTTTGAGGACTTGAGGTGGTTTTGGTGTATGTCACTTAATTTATTCTCCAGTGTTCTCACATGTTTTTATGTTTTGTTGTTACAGGAGAAACGTCTAAGAGTCAATATGAGGTTGAAGAAACTCCATGAAAAAGTCAAGGAGCAGCAAGAAAAGGTAAAGTGGAGGTTAATTTACATTTCATGCTTTATTGCTGCTTTAATCTATTTTTCTTCCTGTATCACTTTGACTTTCTTTCCAATGTAATTTATTCACTTGAACAGAGTTACATTTTAGTGCCTAAACTCAAGCTTACCTGGTGGTTATTATGGTCAGAGCTTCTAAGGAATAGTTCTCTTTTATGCGGAGATGGTTTTCAACTTGTTATTATGCTCAACTAGGTTATAGCTTGTGCCTTGGGGGATGCCTCTATCCTGGCTGACACCCTATTTAACTTTACTGTTTATACGTAATGGTTAATGTGCACCATCTGCCTCTTGCTTATAGAAAAATCACATCTGTAGAAAGCTTAAGATGAGGGAAATTGTGACCAAAGTCAATTCCCTTGATGCCTTGTATGCGTGTTACCTTTTTTCTTGATTGAATAGGATATTTGGGGGACTGAGTGGTTCATCTTCTAGTTCAGAAATATATGTTAATTAAGGAAAATGATGCTTTAAGGAGTTTTAGAATCACCTTTTTTTTTCCCCCTTTATATTTAATTTTCCCACTGCTGATTTGGCATGTATCGAGTGGGTAAAATGAATATGCCGAATGCTACACCGTTTCTTGTTGTCTGATAATATGTTGATAAACCGTGCAACTACATATACTCATATTATTCATATTTGAAATTGGTGTTTGGACTTTGGACACATGGTTTTTATACTTAATCAATTAGATTACGTTAGTTATACTTATAATTTACAAATGGTCAAAGATTGACGTATGAGACGGTCAATTCAGGATAGCAGGACTACGTTGTTTCAGTGTCTTTAAGCATCTGACAATGTTTATATGAGAAGAGTTGATTATAAATACCTTCTAATGTAGATGTACAGAGTATTTTATAAAAGTAATTCACAGTTTTAACTGAAGTTGCCCAAGTATGTATTATGTGCTGTTTTAGAAAAGTGGCACCTAAAACTCCCATGGACATCTTGCCAATCTTGGAGAGAATGATTGGCAAGTTGATTGAGTTAACATGAATATTTTCTTCGGGGAAGAAGAGTGCTAAGATATTTTGGAACTGCTCTTTTGACTTCTGAGAAGGTTGAGGGTTCTGAAGTCTGATCACTTATATAGGTGGTTTTTATTTAATCAAATTTTAGGTAACATGTTCATTAAACTCTCATGGGCATCTTGGATATTTTGATTGGCAAGTTGCAGAGGTTATGTGAACATTTTGGCAGACATTTTCTTACCCAATCCCCACTCACCATCCTACTTTTTTCAACTTAATCTTTACATTAATACCACTTATAACACACTCTCTCCTACTTTCTTACACTTGCCCTACTCTACACTCTTTTCTCCTCCCCTTGTTGGTTTATGTTGCTATAGTAACTGTTGCCTCATTCGGAACGGATGTAGTAATTAATTAACAAGTTAGGAACATGCTTTTTTCTTGAATTTTGAAAGTAGCAGCTAGTGATAATGATGTGATGACTGTTATACAAAGCCCTGAAAATAGAGCTGGCAAAGGGAGCACTCTGTATCAGTTCCAGGAAGTCAATTCATGACTAATTATCTGCTTTTATGGTCATGGTTGGCTTAGGCAATTGAGAATTTTGGTGATACTGGTGTTTGCTGTATAGGGATGTCTTGCTCATAATCTTTAGTTTTTCTGCTTCTCTCTGTATTTCTGACTGTTCTGTTGATTGGGCAAGTTATTGTTATGACCAATTAAAAGATTACTCGACATATTTCAAGTGTCAGTCCTTAGTTGAAGGCATTCAAATCTTGGCAATAGTGTTAGGTTATCATCTATCCTCTGTCTCACCCCTTTTCCTCCTTAAAACTTAGCCCTACTTTTTTCATGGCTTCTGAAATTACCTTTGCATCTACCCTTAATTGTATTAAAATGCCCCTAACTCTTAATAGATATGTGTATAAGGCTACAACAAGCTCTTATAATCGTATGGTTTATGCTGACACAGGTATCAGTCTTAGCCACTCACTGTGTGTTGTATGTGGATGTGGGAATAGTGATTGTTTGACTCGTAATGAATAAGTAGAAAATGCTGAATAGTGATTGTTTCCCATTTTCTTTGGAGCCATTATGGATGTGAGGATAGTGATTGTTTTCACATTTTACCTAGTCTTGTTACCAACAGCATTACTTGTTTGCAGATCCAAACGGTGGCTAAAACCGCTGAAATGACTCGAAATGAATGGGTGGAAAATGCTGATCGCTGGGTAGCTGGATTCCTTGAGATGTTTGAGGAAGGATGTCATAAAATGGTATACATGCTTATATGTGCTTATAAGTAGGAAATTCTACATTTGAAAATAACTGCGATATAATAATCCCTACATTGTTGACATTCATCAGGGAACAGCTATTAGGGACCGAATTCAAGAGAGTTTGATGGGGCAGCAGTCTAGAGGTTTGCTGCCTAATGGAATGCTAGATGATGGAGAAAGTGAAGAATACTTTGACGATGATCCTTACTATGATGATGAAGATGAGTACTATTATGATGAAGATGAGTACTATGATAATGAAGAGGATGAAGAAAAGGAGAAGCAAGACAAGGATACGAACAAACAGGAAAAAATTGATGAGAAAACGAACAAACAGGAAAATACTGATGAGAAAAAGAACGAACCTGAGAAAGTAGAAGAAAAGAATTAGACAGTTGGGAGTTTTGCTTGTCACTATAGGTTGATACGTACTATCAGAGGTGATTTTCAAGGGGTTTATGTAAAGTGTGACAGACATAGTAGCGTGCTTTCCATTGTATTTGTAGCTATTACGGAGATAGTACAGGTTTGCAGGATCCAAGTTGTTGATTAGTTAAAAGATTTACTTGCTACAACACTTACACCCCCTTCGCTTTCTTAGTTTGAAGGACAATGTAAAGATTGAAGAAGATGAACAACAAACCCGAGGTCGGGTTGTTGAATCTTATCATGTTTTGATCTTGTAGGGATGTACTCCTGTACTGTTTATGTGGACTTGAAAGCTTTTGGTATATAGCCTAATTGTTTTATAATTTCAGCTATTAACTTTTGAAAGATGGATTATCTTCAAATATGGTAGATTGATAGTCGTATCTTTATTTTGACGCTGTCAAAAAGGATGATCCCAAGTAAATTATAATTCGTGTAAAGATCGTCCAATCCCATCAAAACTAATCACCCATTAGCTTAAAGATTACTCAAAACATCATTCATACTGTCATTCCAATCTCCATCATCTAAATCAATTTTTCTCTTTGATTGTCATATTGTCTCGAACCCTTTTCAAACTCAATCTTGGTCTTATTCTTATACTTAGTATTTGTTACATTTAAGATAATGAACGTTTATTTTTGTTTCTTGAGAAACTTATATGGAGTAGTACGCATGAAATAATGACTATATTATAGACGAGATTTGATCACTAACTCTTTCGAGCAATAGCAGTTCCAAATACATTATTGATAACTAAATTTTACTGAATCATATTTGTTGGATTTGATATTAATGTTGGTGGACAACTCATTTGTCATAATTGGTCAATGGATAGATTATAGATACACTATGCAAGTACATGGTCTATGGATTATGCTAAAACTTAGAAGAGAATATGACAGGGTAAGAGATTACGTCATCCGCAATAAGAGCATGACGTCATCCATTAAACCGTTGTTTCCTAGAAATAACGGTGAAATTGGGGAGTTCTTTTTTACAGACTTTCTAGAAACGAAGATGAAACCCCGCTCCTTATGCTATACCAACCGACCCCACCTTCCTGCCTCCATTCCTTAAAAAAAAAAAATAACTTAATTTATCTATTTTTGTATTTTTAACCCTGCACTTTCTTACTTTCGAGTAAAAATTGTCAAAGATATATTCATACTACCTTAGCTAATTTGGGTGGTACGATGTATAAAAATTTCACTTCAAATTTAGAACTATACTACAAAAGCATTACTACGGTTATTCAAAAAAAAAAAAAAAAAAAATCCAAAAGCATTACTACAAAGTAGGTTAAACTACAAAATTCTTGCTTGTTAAGATTAAAAATTGTATGACCTGATAATGTATCATCGAGTGTGAATGTGTGATGTATATTTTAATTTTAGATTATTTTAGATGTTTTGAGAATTGTGTGCCAATTTGGCAATTTAGAAAGTGCAAATATTAAGCATAGGAGTAACTTTAACAATAAAAATGTAATGTATGAGAAAATTGTATTATTAGTTGTTGTACACAAATTTACAAAATTCCATCACATGCTAAATTGTACTTTTGTAGTCATCCTTTCCTTTAAAAGTGTTATTTTTACACATCAACACTTAAATTTCTTATTGAGAGGCAAAAACTATGAAACATAAGTTGAAAGAGACATTTTGGGTCATTGTCAAGATCACCTAATATTTCTGACTTTGACCAATTATAGGTGACTCTCCACAAATAAATACACCCCATCATCTACTTCTTTACTTCTCCTAATCTCCTTTCCCAACTTTATTCCTTTCCTTTTGCTAATCTTTTTTTCCCCTCTATTCGAGCAGCATGACTAGCACAAGTGACTGGCTACACTTCCACCAAAGTAACCCCTCGGCCGCCAGCCAAACACCTTACGCCACCGCAACCACCTCCTCCGACCTCTTCTTCCCGGGCCGGGTATCCGATGCCACGATGGTCTCAACCAACACGAGCCCTATCAACAACCCGGCACCTGCGGGCCCGGCCCAACTAGGCCCGACTCAGAGCCGGGTCTCCAAGCCCGCTCGCAAGCGGACACGAGCATCCCGGCGAACCCCAACCACACTCCTCAACACTGATACCTCCAACTTCCGTGCCATGGTGCAACAGTTCACAGGCGGCCCAAGCAGCAACTTCGACATCCCCGGGCCCGGCCCACAAATGTTCGGGAATGGGATGGGCCGTGGTTATGGGCTTCCTAATCCAATGGCCCAATTACAACAACAACAAGGACTAAACCCACTACAATACTCCATTTCATCTAACAACAACAATAGTAACATTATGTTCATGCAAAGAATGGGAGAAAATTATACAACACATGATCACGTTAACATGAACGTGGGATTAACCGGAACCGGAACCGGTGGCGGATCATCGTCGAGCGAGAACCGAAGCATGGACAGTTTCCATTTTTAACATTAGGATCAGATTAACACAAAGCATGATCAAGCTAAGTGTAGAAGCAATTGAGGAAAGTGTTGTGAGGTGAGGTTGGTGTAGTATTGGTGAGCTGACTTTTTGGAAAAAAAATCATGGAAGAATCTTAGAAACATACTAATATTGACTAGTATACTATACTGCTACTATACTAGGGAGTTGTTAATTTTTTATCTTCCTTTTATGTACAGTTATTTCACTTTTTTTTTTTTCTTTTAATTATCTCTTGATATTCTTCATCCTTTTTTTCCCTTCCCTATGAGGTTTTGTTAAGGGGATGGATTTGCATTTACAAGGTTTGCATAGGTCAATCAAATGGCTAATTAAAAAAGCCTTTTTCTTGTTTTTTTGGGTTATTGCCCAAGTTTGTACTCACCTTGCTTTCCTATATGTAATATGTAATCCTTTGTTTCTTCTTCATGTTTTGCTATATGTTTCATTCATACGTGTTTTGTATGAGTGCGTAGAATTTATGTTTCATTAGTTCAGTTCAATCACAATATAGCTGGATATATACAATAATTTTCGGATATAACTTTGGGTTGTGACGTGTGGCCACTTGTTTTGCATTGGGATGTCCGATCTTACCCAGGCCACTACCTATGTGTTGAGCACTTAAATTACAGTCTTTCAAAGGGCGCCCTTGGCCTACATGTCCATCTTTCCATGTTTACAAGGATTTCTAACTAAATTTGGGAACTAGGAAGTCACATCCCACAATTTGGCACACACAACATTGTGTTATGCTATGCCATGCCATGCCATGCTATTCTATCTTTGTGTCTGATCATGCCATGCCTCGGGCCAGCTTGTCCTAGCAGCCTAGCATCGCCGTCTTCATCCACAACCCAATCAAGAGGCTGAGAATGGGAAGATCAGATGTTATGGTCATCAAATTTTGGATAGCATTAGTTCAGTGTATGAATGATAGAATTATATGACTTGTATTGATCGTATATGATCCGTTCAACAAAAAACATTACTGATTTATATTAATCTACGGTTCTTGAAATTATGACATCATGCATGATCTTGTGTTGTTCAGCAGTCTTAGATTCCTTATTAACAACAATATATGTAGTACACAAAATCAAGTCTATTTTTGCGTCTAGTTTAGGCGACCTTACATTGGATGGTGTATGTATTTCCTTACAGTGTTGATCACTACTGCAATGTTGATCTCTCCAAATTTGGATCAAAATAAGTTGAACATAAAAGTCACTATACAAATAAAATGACACCTCTGTCTTATCATTAATTTATATCGTCACATAATTTGGTTGCAGAAGAAGGGAAACAATCACGTAAAATAGATGTGTTACGGTTAGAAACCGTCTCATATTAGAATTTGCCAATACATTTTTACTTTTCGTTTAGATCGAATTAAAGACCTTTCAAAGGCAAATAGCTCCAAATGAAAGCCTAATCAAGGAGACTAATCAAGTTTTAGGGTTTAATTTAAAGAGGGCACTATAAATTAGAAAGTTCAAACTTAATTATTACATTCAAGTATTTCAACAATAATAGAAGGGTGTTTACGTTGAAGGTTTGGTGGCCTAACTACTAACTATAGTACCAGTTGCTATAACCTTATAAGCTAGTCTATAAAAATAATAATATTATATTCACTACTCAATATTTTTTTTTTAATAAAATTGAATATTAATATTATACAAAAACAAAAATGAAGGAGTCACTTTTGTTGACGATTCTCCAAATCGTCAATGAAACAATTATGTGCACTCCAATTTAATTTATTTTTTTTTTTTTATTATTTTTTTTTTTTTGAAGAACACGTCCTATATATTACCTTTCATAACTTTCACATTTGTGGCAAGAACGCAAGGGTAAAATTAGATATGTCACATAATTATGTACGAGTTCACTCGGCTAATTAAGTAAATAATTACTCCATGGCAAGCAATCCACGATTCCACGCCATGCATGCATTTAGCCACTAGCTATTCCTTAATGTGTTGAAGAATTGAATTTTCAAAGATAGCTATAGAATTGAAAACTATACCATATTGTGTAATCATATATATGGAAGACTAATGTAACACATATTAATTATCCATTAAATAAATTTTACTTAAAAAAATCTGTTTCGGATGAAAATAATAGGACCTTCAGCAGACCCTTTTCAAGGGAGAAGACTGATCTCGGTCCAAGTAGTGACAGGGCTGAGGATTTCCTGCACAGCAAGCACACGTAAACTAAGCCTCGAGGGTGGTTGCTGAGGAAGGCCCCTCCGATGCTAAAGTCAGTTCAGTGTATTGAGAGTAAATGCTATGCAAGAGGATTAATTGCTTGAGGTTGATTGTGAATGAATAATAAACGAGGCAATTGATGGCTTTTATACCTTTGCTCAATAGAGGAGGATTGGTCCCTTGAAGTCAGATGGGCTTGCCATGCTGACTGGGCTTGATTGACTTTAGCATGCTTTGGAGAGTTGAACCTTGGTTTTGGGCTTTTGTAATTAAATCATTTGGGCCGACCCAATTAGGTTAACTGAATTGGACCCAAACAACTTGCCCTCCAGACCCGATTCGGAAGGATGACGGGTCGGGTTTTGACTTGCAAAATGGAGGCAAACAAATGATTGTAATTTGAATTTTGGAATCTGGACAGTTAATGATGTTGTAACTGTCATTAAGGAGAATAATTAGGGAAGATAGAAGGTTTAGTGGGTAGTTAACTTAGGAACGTGTTTAACGGTTGTGTTTAAGTGGGATTTAGTGGGGTTTTTAGCGGTTTTAGACTCTTGGAATTCTTGATTCCTGCAAGATTATATAAACCGTCCTCACCCTCTTTTTCCGACACATTTCGCAAACACATGACTTGAGATTCGCTAACACCCCTGCA